CATAAAATAATTAACAATTCTAGCATATATTGTTCTAAAACATTTCTTTTTTCTACATTGGAAATATCTCACAACTCATAGTTCATAACTTATACCTCATAAATCTTAACCATATTTTTATATATATGGTATATATACCATATATATAAAAATATATATACGGTACCAATATTTATGAAAAATAAATAAATAAAAATATCTCCAAATGCTTGCTAAGTGTACAAAAATTTTCAAAATATATATAATTTTGACTAACTAACCAAAAAATTGATTCATTGTTCAACAAATGTTCCTTAAACAGGTTTTTTCTACTTATGCTGTTTTCATCTTCGTGAAAACAAATAATAAACATGCATAAGAAAACAATTGAAAACTTCAACAATCCTTAAAAATGTGATCTTCCAAATAATGTAGTGCCTTTAAAAGACTTTAAAGAGAACTAAAATGATCATCTCACTGTATACAGATTGTTATTGCTCATTGTAACAGCTATTAAAATAAATTTACTCTCATAAAGCAGAGCTAAACAGCTCTGCTTTATGAAATTATTTGAAAAAGCAAAAAAGAAAGAACAAAATAAATCTAGGAGGAACAATTTTCCCTCCCAAATCAATGAGGCCTGTAGGGCCCAACCTGTGGCTGTCCTTAATTCTATGCAATGATTATAAAAAGTGATAAAGCAAACAAAATCATATTTTTAATGACATTTATTTCACAACATATTTTATAATATAATGAAAATACTATAAAAAATTTTATATTTGGAATGTTTTAAATTTTAACTTTAAATTATTTTTTTAAAAATTATAATAATAAACTTAATTAAAATCTTTCAGGTTGCAGGAAACTTTCATATTGCACCAGGAAGAACATTTTCTCAGCACCACGTGCATGGTGAGTTTATTTAAAACTAATTGACAAATTCATAACTTATTATAGAATTTAAACTACATTATTATTTACTGAAATAAAAATTATCGTAATCTAAAAGTTAATATAATGTTTATATAAGAATAATCTACTTGTATTTATCAACAATACATTTAGTAAACGAACATTTTCAAATTGACTTTGGTCAGAGCTGTAGTGGAGAGTGTATATCTTGTGGAACAGATTAGAGAGGCAAAACTAAACATAAATTAATTAAATATAATAAAAAAATTCTTTAATTTGTCATAAAAAAATGTCTATGTATAACAGTCTTTTTAGATTAGTTATAAAAAACATTTATGTGCAAACTTATTCCTGATGCTACCCTTACAATCATATCTGGATAAGCTGCTTACTAAATATACAATATAAATATATTATCAATATAACTAAGAGTGCTTGGTAAATTTAAAATGCTCGAAATTATATATTTGTAGAATGCTACCACTTGAAAACTGGGTATGCTTGAATTAAAACCACTAAAAAAATCTAATATCCAGTGGGGTAAAAGAAATAAGTGCTAACATTTTGGCCATTTAAAAAAAAAAAAGGAGGGAGTTGGTCTAAGAAGAAATTGTTGATCTTCCTTTTAAGTTGTATGGTGGGTGACAAAGATTTATTCACAATAGGCCAAAGTTGTGTGCCAGTTTGCCCGATGATGCCCATTCAACACGGACAAAAACATTAGCATTTATTTCTTTTACTCTATTGGATATTAGGTTTCTTAGTGGTTTTAATTTTATATATCCGCTGTAAATATGGAAAAATAACTATATTAAATAGTAATTAATATAATGTTTTATGTTATTAATTTAAAATTTTTATTTTTATTTTTTATCAGTCCACGATCTGCAACCATTTTCATCGCGACAAGTAAGTATTTTATTATTATAAAACTTCATATACATTTCACATAGTAACTTTTAAAGGAATATCACACTTTGTTTTATGAAATTTTATTACTTGTAATTTTAAAAAAATCATTTTTTTTAATCAAATTATCAGATTTCTGCTGTTAGCATTATATAAAATGAATTTCATATTCTTTTCATCTTTAGAAAAACAATCTCTATTTGATCTAGTTGTACCAATACTTAAATTTTTAAATAATTAATTTTAAGTTTTGTTAACAACTAGTTAAAAACACTATAAATACCTGAAAATAAGTAATGGTAGATCCATAGATCTGCCATTGTTTATTTTCAGGCATATGCTCTTCTGCATACACAATGATTTTTTGTTTTAATGTTGTATCATGATGTTTTAAAGGTATTTAAATGTTAAAAAAGAGTTTAAGTTAAATACTTATTACTAGCAAATCGTATTTGAACTGATATGATGGTTCAGAAGTATAACCAAAAGTTCATAACATGCAACATGGTCATGATTTTGGACTGCAGATGTAAGATGCCATCAATTGTCTCAAAACATCTCTATTCTCAACAAGGAAAAATGAGTAAAAATGTGCAATTTAGAATCAAAGAAACACAATAGTAACTGAATCAACAGAAAAATTGTGTATTATACTATTAGTTTTCATAAAAGTCTCCAAAACCTGGAATGTACACAAATTAAAATTACACACTGTCTGTCTTCCAACTATACACACACTCTTCCAGCAAATAATTTGTATTGGAATCAAATAAAAACGGAACATTTTAGCTTCTTTTAGGGACCTGCATCAAGTGTCAATCATTACAGAATGTTAGAAGAGATTTTAAATTTAGGATGTTTTTTTTTTAAAATGAACATTCATTCATGCCATTATTTTACATGGCATTAGTGAACAGTTCAAGACATTGGTGACAGACTTCTTTGACAATAAAATAAGGAAACTGGTGACACAATATCAAACACGTGCAAGTCAATGGTGACTATGTGAAAAAATAACAAAAGTGTGCACATCTATTTTAGTTATAATAAATTATTTTTATCTTTCATTTTGTTTTTTTTATTTCAAAATGGATCTTATTTTAAAAACACGCCTTGTATTAATGAGTAAAGGACAAAACACATGTCAATGTTCCATCTTGATGGAGCAGTGGTATATAATGTATTTTTGTAGATTGTTTACTATTAATACAGTAGAGCGTCGTTTATCCGAAAGAATTCCAGTCGGCAAATTTAAATTTTTGCTAGTGCTGTGGCACTGCAATCTTTGGCTATGTCTTGGGCTACTCCAATATTTTTTATGTTTGTGTATGTGTTTTAGCTGGCAGCACTGGCACTTTTGTGTGGTGTTTTTCTGAGCACTGTGTGTCGTGCCGAATCGAACGTTTTTGATACTAGATTAACTCCTAAAGTATTTTTTTTTTTTTGTTTTTATATTTTCAATATATTTATTTTGTTTGTACAANAGGCTTTTTTATAAATCCATTATAAGTTTGGCTAGATGCATTGGGGCTAGATACAAAGATGAGGAATGGGGCCAGATCACTAGTAAAAATCTCTGTAGATCTTTTTCAGACTTTAACCTTTCATAATAGCGTGCATGCATTTTATCCATTTTTACAATCCAATAGTCTATGTAACATGTAATTAATAAAATAATGTTTTAATGATAATTTTCAATTAAATAGAATATTTATAAAAAGTCTTTTAACTACAATCAAATCTAGGCAATTAAACCAACTCTCGATCCAAATCGATGCGAAAGCTGTTACGGAGCCGAGAGGGAAGAAAAGAAGTAAGTACATTTTTCTTAATATTTCTTCAGAACTCAATGTGAATAAACTGGAAAGGAACAATAAAATAATGTATTTCGAAAAAATAAAAGCAAATTTGTTTGTTTTTCTAATTTACATTTTTTTAAAATTTCAATTTAATTGAATCAAATTTAGATTAGTTAGTTGAAATAATGCAAAAATGTAAATATTAACAAATCATTATTATAGTTTATTCTTAGACTGCTGTACAACATAAATAAATCTTTAAGTACTTTTATTCTAAAAACAGTTTTAAAATATAGCTTTAATGCTTTTTACTTGAGAATATTTCATACAATATATAATACAGTAAAACCTGTGTAAGCCAGAACCACACGATACTGTATTTTTTCCATTTTAGCAGATTTCCATTTTGAACAGGTTTTAATAATTTTTCTTTTCCTTTACATTTTTTTTTTTTTAAATTTTTAAATTACACTTGATAAATTCCACACAGTTAACTATATTTTTAATGTAAAATCTCTTTTATAACATACATAAGAAAAATTTTATTACTAGTTTTTAATCCAAGTTAATTAAAATGATTCCACTTTAAATTAACTTGGATACAAAAATTGAGAACTATTCAATTCTAAAACGTTCTCAAATGTTTCCTAGAACATTGCTAGGTATTTGAGTACTAAAATTATTTGAATACCCTCTGCCATCAGAAATTTAATTGCATTATAGTAATATGGAGAAAAAGTTATTCTGTGATGTGACTTTAGAGGAATTTTAATACTAATTAATTATTAATTTAATCTCTGTAATTACAAACAATGATAATCAATTTGTTCTTGAATGTTTGGTACAAATTATTTATTAACTATTTCATATAAGGAAAATTTGTATCTCTGTGTTATCTTATTTTCATTGTTTTCAATGAATTACATTTGTTACTTGTTCTCAAGAATTCTCAGAAACTGATTTGATTCTTAAAAGTATTCAATTCTGTTAAAGGTTCATATTAACAAAGACCTTTTTTATATGTTTACTCATCACATGATCTCCATTTTTCTGAAAAGTTTCAAACTTATTTTGAAATATGATTTATTATGCTCTACAGTGATCATTATACTGTACCTGCAGGTAATTTTACTTATTTGTCTGCAATCATAAGATTCTGATTAATTTGGGTGAACTCTTTGAACCCAAAAACCTCTTTAGTTTCCACGTTAGACGTTAGTTTCCACATTCCACGTTAGACACGTCTGGCTTATATTAAAATTTAACAGAAAATCACTCCATTTTAAAGTCTTTTTTTGGTTAAGCAGAATTCTGTTTTATTTAGGTTTTGTTTTAGATGATAAAGTTATAAGTTAAAATGTTATTCACTTTGCTTCAGTAAATGTCTCAATGCAAACTATACATCACATAAGATCTGTGCAACTGTGAAAACACCATCACCTTTGGTTCGGCATCATGCAACAGCAATGGTTGTGGTTGCTGACATGACTAAAAAGAGCAATGTATAAATGTATCTTTCTCTGTATAAAATTTTGTCCCAGATATTTTTGATTGGCCCTCATATTTAAGAATATTATTAAGAATTTGATCAGATCTGATGTTACTTCTGTAATATTATTGTATTTTCAAAACTTAATATTTATCTTTTCACTCACACCATCAAGAATTTTCGTCTTTTGTGTTCTTGATGTGAGTTATAGTGAGAAGACATCTTTTTATGTTTGTTTATACAGAATCTTTAATTATTGTTTGTTGTTTATACTCTATAAACCAATTGATTATTGGATATGCATGTATAGTTATTTGGCTGAATTAATATAGATCTGAAAGCAAAGATAGAAAGTCTGGGTAGTATAACTGGTAACAAATAAGCAGAGTAGGCAGAAGGAATTGGTTCAAGCCCCATTTGAAGTCGATACTTTCTTCCAGACTAGTCTACATAATTTAATTTATTCAAATTTAATATTTAATTATTCATATCAATATAAGATGGTGGACTAACTGCCTATCTTTAAGCAAAATTATAAAGTTCATTAATAAAATTAGCAGACAAACAATACCTGACAAATCTGACAATCAGATATTTGGTTAAATATTGGGAAAACTGAAATGATATGAGTCGTTTATTTTGAAAGTGGCCTAAGTCCATTTATCTTTATATCAAGGTATTTATGGGTTTGCATTTTAATTAATTTAAAAATATTGGTAACTGATAAGATGGTAATTGAAGTGATATATCGTAATTTGTGATTTATTCATCTCCACTTTGCATGTGTAGGCAGGATTTAAAGTAATCATGGTGTGCAGATGGTATATAGTGTAATAAGTCCATCATATCGTTGAAATTGGTCTTGATTTTTGTAATGTCAATTTAATATTATTAAAGTTTCTTGGTCTCCCCCAATGCAATAGTGAATCCAGAGTTTTAAATTTTGTATCCTCATTAATTGATGTTTTATAGAACATTTTATACGGTTCAGTTCTCAAAAAACACATCCAACATATTTTTAACTAACTCACTGTTTCTCCATTAGTATTCTTTAACCTTTTAAAATCCACGGCAGATTGGACAAATTTTAACTATATTAAAGCTAATTTTATATTCTTATTTTGTCCTGCACACATATTGTTGTAAGCTATAATATGTTTTTCATTTCTAAGATTTTTTAGATGTTTTAGAATACATGATGCTATTTCCTGTGCACCTCTGGATACAATGGTTTTATCCCAGAGATACACATATATATTATTATCATGAAAATCTTGAAAACCAGATTTAAAACATACATATTATGCTTATAATATGCAAGTAGTCAACTTTGAGTAAAGCAGTGCTTTTTGAAAGTCAAAAGAAAAAGCAAAATAGTCATTTGGATTACATAATGCTAGATCTTGGTCTTGTTTAATGATTTTCTAGCCAATTCTGCTCATCTAAAATAAGTATCAAGTTCTTCCATAAGACTTGCCTCCTTTTCTTCACCATTATTTGATTCCTTAATTTTAATGTTTAACAGATTGAGTTTTTGGCACGTATCTTTCTGCGGCTGGTGGAATTGTAAATTAAAATCTTCTTTAAAAATTTTTCTATAAGACCACTCATTAACAGCACTTGTTTTATTTTCTTTACATTCAAGCAAATATAAATTAAACATCTTTATATTCAGATTAGGATTAAGAATTTTCTGTTAGGATTATGGTAGGTGTTAGGATAAAGGAGGCAGCACCATCAATGCGTTATTGTTGTAAAATTATGCTACATTTAATAGATTTATTATTGTAATTATTAACTAATAAAATTTTACTCCATAATATACTGCATATTAGTTTGAAACGTGTCAAAGTGGATTTAGGCCACTTTCAAAATAAATGTCTGATATCATTTATTTGTTTATGCAATTGTATTTATATTCAACAAGATTTTGAAAGACAAAATGTTTAATATAATTATATCAATAATAGTATGATGCAAGATTATGTATTGAGCATACAGCTTAGTATAGCTATGTATAGTTAAGCATATATTTGTATTTACTATTATTATTAATCTGATACAATGTCATAATATGAACATAAAAAAATTATTTGAAATTTTTACTAGATGCTGCAACACCTGTGAAGAAGTAAGAGAAGCATATAGGCTAAAAGGCTGGGCATTTTCTGATGCAGATAATGTAATTCAATGTAAGCGAGAAGGTTGGACAGATCAGTTGAAATCTATAGATAAAGAAGGTTGTCAAATATTTGGATATTTAGAAGTAAACAGAGTAAGTTTGTCACTTCTTTTTTTTTTTTTCTTTCTTAAGCCAAGTCATTATTAAGAAATTATCATTTATCTAAAATTTTAAAATTAGCATTTGAAACATTGTAAAATAAATACACAATTCACATTTTATTTACATTTTAGAATTCAAATTGTATCGATTTTAATACATGCATACATATGTAGATACAACAGACTTCCATTTTTATAACCTAATTGGTTCCTAGAAAAGTGTTGTTAAGCATGATATTTTATTTTCCAAAAGTTTAGTATAAATTAGTGCATAGCTACATCTCATTAACTCCTCATAAGTGGAGATTATGTTTATGGAAATACAGTTTAAACTATGTAACAGTTCACATTAATGATCAATAAAATACACAGCATTTCATTACACTAGTGTGTACTAGTTGTAAAAATGGAAATTTTAAGCAAGTATCCTGTTTGCTCCCCCTCTGCAGATGCTCATGACTGTGATGGTAAAATCTGGAACAAAAAATGGAGCTTTTCATTTGAATAAGTTGTACCAAAACAGGCAATGCTAGCCTTCATCAGTTGTCAAAGTTAAGGACCAAGGTGGTGTTCTGGTCAAAGATGACATAGAATTGTTGTCTAATGTCATACAGAGTCTGATGTTTTAATTGCCCCAAATCCTGTTCAAAGGAATATAAAATTTACAGTTTTATGCCTGGGGTTTCGGCCACTCAAACCTTTCAGTGATTGTATTCAACGAATTATTAAAAGTTGGTGATAAGAATAGCATCCAGCTAAAACCCAAAGCCAAATTACAAAAAATCTGAAATTTCATAAAAGGTGAGACTAATAGTATTGAAGAAGGAAAAGGAGATGTGTCATAACTGATTATTTTTCTTATTTATATTTCTTGATTAATTCTGGAAGTCATATTGTCTTCTAATAAACTGTTCTTATTATAATTCATTTATATTATGGATATTTGGTGTTTCATTTTATGCAAGGTTGTCTGCAGAAGCACACTGTCAACTGGGTGATGGACAACCGGGTGACGGTCAACTAGGCTACTGCTAACTGGGGATTGGACATCTGGGCAACAAAATAGGAGATGAGTGACAAAATACAAAATGTTTTGTTTTCTTTATAAAAAATCACCCAGTAAATTTAATTTTAATAATAAACAAGCAGTTATTTATTGTGACATCGTCATAGTACCAGATTGCAATTTTTAATCATATTTTTATTTATTTAATTTAAAATATATACTCTCCACCTCAAATTAGTAGTGTCTTGCCCCTGTACATCATACTTTTCCATTAGCAATGGAGTCGTGCTGGTCATCTATTAACTGTTTTCAGGGGAAAAGTTTTGAATTGAAATAATTTGACTTCCAGTTTTCATTGGAAGTTCACATATAATTAATTCTGTCCCTAAGATTTTCATATCCGGTCTCCTCTTTTGTCTATCTGACTCTGTTCTCGAGATTAAGGAAAGACAGATGGACAACATTGGGAATTAATAGGTCTATACAATTTTTTTCAAATTGCAGCTCAATAAAAGTCTTTCTTTATTGGTGTACTATCCAGTAGATTTAAATAAAATTTTTTAAGAAACATATTAAAGAAGTGATTTTGTAATTAACAAACATTCTTATACATGTTACATACTTTATTTATTTATTTTTACCAGTAATAGAAAAGTCTCAAAGGATGGTTAATATGTACCCTCAAAATTAACAAATATATGTAAGAGAAAGACATCAATTACATAAAATTGAAAATACTTTATATTATACATTAAATATAATATAAATTAAAACAAAAAAAGTATAAAAGTTCTTTGAAAGAATTTGTTTTTGAAGAACTACTTTGTTAACTGCTTCTCACATAAAATAATTAACAATTCTAGCATATATTGTTCTAAAACATTTCTTTTTTCTACATTGGAAATATCTCACAACTCATAGTTCATAACTTATACCTCATAAATCTTAACCATATTTTTATATATATGGTATATATACCATATATATAAAAATATATATACGGTACCAATATTTATGAAAAATAAATAAATAAAAATATCTCCAAATGCTTGCTAAGTGTACAAAAATTTTCAAAATATATATAATTTTGACTAACTAACCAAAAAATTGATTCATTGTTCAACAAATGTTCCTTAAACAGGTTTTTTCTACTTATGCTGTTTTCATCTTCGTGAAAACAAATAATAAACATGCATAAGAAAACAATTGAAAACTTCAACAATCCTTAAAAATGTGATCTTCCAAATAATGTAGTGCCTTTAAAAGACTTTAAAGAGAACTAAAATGATCATCTCACTGTATACAGATTGTTATTGCTCATTGTAACAGCTATTAAAATAAATTTACTCTCATAAAGCAGAGCTAAACAGCTCTGCTTTATGAAATTATTTGAAAAAGCAAAAAAGAAAGAACAAAATAAATCTAGGAGGAACAATTTTCCCTCCCAAATCAATGAGGCCTGTAGGGCCCAACCTGTGGCTGTCCTTAATTCTATGCAATGATTATAAAAAGTGATAAAGCAAACAAAATCATATTTTTAATGACATTTATTTCACAACATATTTTATAATATAATGAAAATACTATAAAAAATTTTATATTTGGAATGTTTTAAATTTTAACTTTAAATTATTTTTTTAAAAATTATAATAATAAACTTAATTAAAATCTTTCAGGTTGCAGGAAACTTTCATATTGCACCAGGAAGAACATTTTCTCAGCACCACGTGCATGGTGAGTTTATTTAAAACTAATTGACAAATTCATAACTTATTATAGAATTTAAACTACATTATTATTTACTGAAATAAAAATTATCGTAATCTAAAAGTTAATATAATGTTTATATAAGAATAATCTACTTGTATTTATCAACAATACATTTAGTAAACGAACATTTTCAAATTGACTTTGGTCAGAGCTGTAGTGGAGAGTGTATATCTTGTGGAACAGATTAGAGAGGCAAAACTAAACATAAATTAATTAAATATAATAAAAAAAATCTTTAATTTGTCATAAAAAAATGTCTATGTATAACAGTCTTTTTAGATTAGTTATAAAAAACATTTATGTGCAAACTTATTCCTGATGCTACCCTTACAATCATATCTGGATAAGCTGCTTACTAAATATACAATATAAATATATTATCAATATAACTAAGAGTGCTTGGTAAATTTAAAATGCTCGAAATTATATATTTGTAGAATGCTACCACTTGAAAACTGGGTATGCTTGAATTAAAACCACTAAAAAAATCTAATATCCAGTGGGGTAAAAGAAATAAGTGCTAACATTTTGGCCATTTAAAAAAAAAAAAGGAGGGAGTTGGTCTAAGAAGAAATTGTTGATCTTCCTTTTAAGTTGTATGGTGGGTGACAAAGATTTATTCACAATAGGCCAAAGTTGTGTGCCAGTTTGCCCGATGATGCCCATTCAACACGGACAAAAACATTAGCATTTATTTCTTTTACTCTATTGGATATTAGGTTTCTTAGTGGTTTTAATTTTATATATCCGCTGTAAATATGGAAAAATAACTATATTAAATAGTAATTAATATAATGTTTTATGTTATTAATTTAAAATTTTTATTTTTATTTTTTATCAGTCCACGATCTGCAACCATTCTCATCGCGACAAGTAAGTATTTTATTATTATAAAACTTCATATATATTTCACATAGTAACTTTTAAAGGAATATCACACTTTGTTTTATGAAATTTTATTACTTGTAATTTTAAAAAAATCATTTTTTTTAATCAAATTATCAGATTTCTGCTGTTAGCATTATATAAAATGAATTTCATATTCTTTTCATCTTTAGAAAAACAATCTCTATTTGATCTAGTTGTACCAATACTTAAATTTTTAAATAATTAATTTTAAGTTTTGTTAACAACTAGTTAAAAACACTATAAATACCTGAAAATAAGTAATGATAGATCCATAGATCTGCCATTGTTTATTTTCAGGCATATGCTCTTCTGCATACACAATGATTTTTTGTTTTAATGTTGTATCATGATGTTTTAAAGGTATTTAAATGTTAAAAAAGAGTTTAAGTTAAATACTTATTACTAGCAAATCGTATTTGAACTGATATGATGGTTCAGAAGTATAACCAAAAGTTCATAACATGCAACATGGTCATGATTTTGGACTGCAGATGTAAGATGCCATCAATTGTCTCAAAACATCTCTATTCTCAACAAGGAAAAATGAGTAAAAATGTGCAATTTAGAATCAAAGAAACACAATAGTAACTGAATCAACAGAAAAATTGTGTATTATACTATTAGTTTTCATAAAAGTCTCCAAAACCTGGAATGTACACAAATTAAAATTACACACTGTCTGTCTTCCAACTATACACACACTCTTCCAGCAAATAATTTGTATTGGAATCAAATAAAAACGGAACATTTTAGCTTCTTTTAGGGACCTGCATCAAGTGTCAATCATTACAGAATGTTAGAAGAGATTTTAAATTTAGGATGTTTTTTTTTTAAAATGAACATTCATTCATGCCATTATTTTACATGGCATTAGTGAACAGTTCAAGACATTGGTGACAGACTTCTTTGACAATAAAATAAGGAAACTGGTGACACAATATCAAACACGTGCAAGTCAATGGTGACTATGTGAAAAAATAACAAAAGTGTGCACATCTATTTTAGTTATAATAAATTATTTTTATCTTTCATTTTGTTTTTTTTATTTCAAAATGGATCTTATTTTAAAAACACGCCTTGTATTAATGAGTAAAGGACAAAACACATGTCAATGTTCCATCTTGATGGAGCAGTGGTATATAATGTATTTTTGTAGATTGTTTACTATTAATACAGTAGAGCATCGTTTATCCGAAAGAATTCCAGTCGGCAAATTTAAATTTTTGCTAATGCTCTGGCACTGCAATCTTTGACTATATCTTGGGCTACTCTAATATTTTATTTTGTTGGTGTGTGTGTTTTAGCTGGCAGCACTGGTACTTGTGTGTAATGTTTTTCTGAGGACTGTGTGTCATGCTGAATCAAATGTTTTTGATACTAGATTAACTTCTAAAGTATAATTTTTTTTGTTTTTAGCACCGGGGGTATATGCTATCCCGCTGTGGGATGATAGATTTAACAGCAGTTTGGTTTATGTGGGCTCAACCAAACGCTCCCTTCACAAAAGGCTGTGTGAGCACAAACGTGACATC